CTCGTCTCAAAAGACAGACCTAACTCTGGGAGGGAGGAAAGAACAATGTTGGGTGAATCATATTCAGCCTATGAGGTATTTTGCAATTTCACAACTTTAAAAAATGCGTGCAGGATTAAGAATCACTTTTATTGGAAATTCACATCTGTTCCAAGGCGCATTTCCCAGGGAGCTCGCAAAGATGCATTTTCAATGCTGTCTGGGCAAGACAGAAACAGTATGGTGTATTACTTCATAAAGTAAACTAAAGCAGACAATGTTTTTTTCTTCTTTCAGCTTTGTTAATGTGGAACCTTTGAGTTTACAAGTTGCAATTTACAACTGTGGAAGAACCAGGGGGTCTGAAAGATTTGATGGAGCAGTCTGTATGGATTTCCTGCAGAATATTTGTCAGACTTGAATTAAGTACTGTTGTTTTTCTCTCTCTCCCTTAGCCCGAGGCCTTGTGGCTGACTACTCCACATCTATAAATCACCAAGAACGCATGCTTATATCCCGGAGCGAGTGCGCTGAGTCAGTCTGGCAAGGTTAATCACATTCACATCTCCTCGGCCTGTTTGCAGCAGCCAACTGATAACCAAACACACATTACGGGGCATGATCCCTCTTGTTTGTGAATTCTGCTCATATCATGCTTTTACAGTGACGCCACATGAAAGAGCTGGATGTAGGTGACGATGAGGGTTCATAGTGTTTTGGTGATTGTATCCAAGCATAAACAGCGGTGTTTGGACAACAAAAGTAAAGCCAAAACACATAAAGAATTGCTTTAAAAAAAGGAGAGAACCAGATAGCAGAGGGGTGGGGCTGGGGTAGCAGTGGATGAGGATCGACCATAATAACAGACAGAGGTCTCATTCACGTTGCACACATGCTCGGCTTACACTGGGGCCAATGGTCGGCTGCACTCATATCCTTCTGTCTGTGTGTTTGATGGACTTTAAGAGAATATGGGAAGCGTTCCAAGTGTGACACATGGTTTTTAAGCCTATACAAGCAGCATAAGTGTAGTAGAAGTGTGGGTGTGTTTGCAAGTGTTCATGTTGCAGAATATGGACGCATGTGATTGTGCTTAAATCTTTTTTCCATTCAGTGCTTTGCTTTTCTCCCTCTCTCTCTTCTCAGAAGTGCCCTACCCAGATATGTGGGAATTAGGCCACATCGCTCACTACCATCCTACTCTAATCAAAGTGCCGATTCTTGAAACAGACAGCTGTTGTCATGTGCCTTGATTCCAATGGCTATCTGTCCCTGTAGCTGCCCAAGTTCTTAGTAGGCCAGCTGAAGTTGTAGAGGGAGCAAGGGTTAACAACGTCTGCTTATTCAAACTCCAGTCAGAGCAGTGCTCCAGTTCACAAGACAGAACAAACACACTGATCCAAGGTAAGTTCCTTTTTTCTCATCCTCACATTCATACATGCCTGAACATCAGATAATAATGAATTCAAAATAATGTTGATAGAAACATTGTGTGCTTGTTTTGAATTTGACTTTTACTTTGTGAAATGCTAAAAATGATTGTCTTGAGTTGTATTATCGTTATCCACTAACACCTTGTGGCGACAATTAGCAGGTGAAGGGTTGTTTTAATCTTTAGAGTGTGATCGCTTATAGCCATATAAGGAATTGCTTTTCTTTAAAGTAAATGTTAAGAAACATCTGCTAAAAAAGCTAAGAGGGAAAAAACTGCCATATCAATTTCCCAGCACTTTTATGTGGACGTTTCTCCACCTAACAGATCTGCGTCCAGTACATAGCTGCGAGTCAATCAAACTTGATTGGTAGAAGTGAACACTCTTGCCATGTTTCTCCATGTTTCAGGGCCTTCAATCTGCTCAAGCAGCAGGGAACATTCTCCAAATGCCTTCTTGGCTGAAATTTGGTAGATAGGAATGGCTAAATGTATACACTCATGAGTTATTGTCTACCTATCTATTCCTGGTTCACGGCAGTTGTCTGGGAGGGCTGTGGCAGAAACAATACCAATTGTTGCAGACTAACTGAAGGACACGCTTTATCACAAATGCATCTGCAGATTAAGCCCCGAGCCGTCAGGTGTTAAGGGCAAACGGTTGAGAGCACACAGCGGAAAAACTTCAACCAGCTTTAAAAACGCAACTCATCGGGATCAAAGTTTGAGAAGGGATTTTAAAATCCAAACTATACAACATTACCATGATTCCCCATATACAGATCTGTTCAAATCTATTGAAATGCAGGAGGATACATTTCAGGTATATATTGAGCACTTAAGTAAAAACTGCTTTTAGCATTTGGCTAGCAGTCTTTTATTGTTATTGGACTGAGTTGTTCTAAGTTAATAAAACAAACATTTAAAATTGAAAATAAATCTAAGTTTGAATTAAAAATGAAATAAGACATTTGCACAAAATGTCTTAACACATAAGTAATCATTTGAAGTGGAAACATTATAAGATGATAGTATAAGTTTAGAAAAGTAAACCCTGAATTGGTAGGTGCAGAAGTATTGCTAGCATTTCAGTTTTCTCAGAGCTAAGAGAGTTGTCATAGGTCATTACAAAGCAATTTGTTGCCTGTTTCCATAAAACATCATGGCTCGGGTGACTGGAAGGCGGAAGCATGGGAGTGTCGTAATGAAGAGAGAAAGACGAGGCATGTTCAAACACAGTTATGCTTTAGAATAAGCTTCACAGGGCCCAGTGAGGCGATACATTGAACTGCTGCTACCCAATGTTTTACTTTGAAAGAAAATGTTAAAAAAACGAAGAAGAAAACTATTGGAGCATTTAAGATGGGGAGAGGTTTCACCCTGAAAACTCACACCAACAAACACATATGCAGGGTTGGGGTCATAGGTCACATGGGCCTGAACTCTCTCCCTTTAGGCTGAGGACATCAGAGGTCCCTGCTCTTCATTTATTTTACCCATCATCCCTCATCAGGCCAGGGTGACCCCGCGACCCTGGAGCTAGGGTTACCTGTCAGTTGACTGTCTATTCATGAGCACGGGGCTTGACGCTGTGTCAACATTTGTTCTGTGAGAAAGGAGGGAGTAAGAAAAGAGGAGTTTGTGTCAGTGTGGTCAAGACACTTAATACTATACCATATACAATAGACAATAACTTATTTTGTATTAAAACAAATGAATACAAGTATATCCTCGGTTTGTTACCACTCAAATTTCTGGCAGAGCAGGGCCCCGATTGGTCGACTTTTTACTCAGATGACATGCAAGTGTGATCATTCCTGTTTACTCAAAGACAAAGATCCAAAGGAACTCAGTAAACAGATGCCTGCATGGATACCAATTAAAGGGGGTACCTATAAAAACACTCCAAAAGCCCCCCTTTGTGTGCTGTCAGCTATCAATCAGGGTGCCGTAAGTGGGATCCTTGAGATGAGATGCTATCAGCGCTGCCCCGTATACACTCACACCACAGTTTCCCTTATCTCTGCTGAGATAACAGATCCCCTCTAACAGCAAGAGGCCTGAACCAGACACACATGCTTTCTGCAAGTCTCTCCCTCTCACTCTCCGTCTCAGCTGGGCAATAGGCCACTTCATTTCAGACAGGGGCCCTCAGTAAAAAAAACAGTCAATTTGCTCTGGTTCCTGTTTAAAATTCAATAAGCTTGTCTCTTATATTGCAACTGTGTGGTACTAGCGGAGGCTTCAGAGGGCGCGTGCTACTTCTGATCCCAATCTCTGATGTTATCAGCCCCCAGAAGAAACATGATACATATCTCAGTTGACGAATCTAGATGGGCATGAAATTGAACCAAAACCAGAAGCGTGACACATCAACAATTTCCTGCAACTGTACTCTTATATTGTTTTGTAAACATTGCATTTCCGTAAAAACTAAATTGTTTAGGGTTTATAGCCTTTGCTGATAGGGAAATGGAACCAATGGTTCAGGATTGCGAAATTAGGATTGTCTTTTAAACATGAAAATGTTTTTTAAAAGTGCAGTAAAAGGCACATCATTTATCAGAATATATTTGAATATAAATGTTTTAGTTTTAGGTATTATGTAGGTTATGTAAACGTATTATCAGCAGATGTTCAAAAAGCACTGCATGTTGACCATGTTGTGGTTAACATATGTTTGGTCAATGCAGTTATATTTTCCTCGGTTTGAGGACAGCGAGCTGAAAAGATGGTCCTGGACTGGCCATGTTTTTCGGGCTTCCACCAGACCACAGCACGTTGGGCCTAATAACAAAAACAAGCATCCCGGTGTGGAGCTGGTCCCACAGTGTGAGGACCTTAATGAGGAACATGTGGAGCTGCCCAGACACACAGTCAGAGGAAACCCAATCCTTCTTTTTCTCCCCCTTCCTTCTCCCTTCTCCCTTCCCCCCTTTCTACCATTCTTTCTTTCTCACTCTCTACCATTTCTAAGTTTTTATCATGAAGCAATTCTTTAAGATCCTCTGTTATGGTCTCTGTCAGATATATGTTTAAAACTTACACACTCCTCTAAGGTCCGTAGAAACGCCCTCTTAAGTATTTTTTTTCCCACTATTGTACCAGAACAAGTGACCCACTGTGAGCAGAAGAAATATGCCTTGTTTTAACCGATACACTCTTGTAGTGCTCCCTCTCTCGCGCTCTCTCACTCACTTTTACTTGTTTTGGAGTTGGTAGTATATACATATTGCTGGGTCATGCAATGCAATACGCTCATAAGGAAACATGGGAAGAAAGAACTCTTTCTCCACCCATCAAGCCTGACAGGCGGTCTCTGAGTTTCTTTCATGGGCTGAATTCATCCTTACCGTCCACCTGGATCAATTAACTGTTTGCTTCAGTGGTCCTCAGACCCGCAGTGTGGAACCTCAGTTCATTTAGTGGACAGCAGCTTATTGGGCAAAACTATGGCTTTGATTCTGTTTTCTTTTGTCTTGACACTTAAGCCATGGAGATGTTTTATTTATTTCACTATATCTAAAACTGAGCATATTCTTATCTTCAGCAAGATACACTGACGTAAACCATAGCTTTTCTTTTGCAGGAAATGTCATCACTCACTCCTGAAGAAAAACACTGTAACAGGTGAGTCTTTCATTTTAATTTGCTGTAAATATGTCCAAACAATCAATAGAACTGCCTTCTACACTGCGTCACTGTCGGGGTTGTCATAGGGAATAAGAAGTGTAACCTGTTTGGTGAGATTTAAAATCTGACCATAAAGTGCAGCTATAAAACAGATCAACCAACCAAGCCTCCAAAATTAGCTGAACAAACAGAGTAAGGTAGAGCCCTCTGGGGGGATAGACTTGGCACACTGGATCCAGTGTGACAGAGGCCCTTCTGGCAGCTCAGAACAATCCAAACGTTCCACTTGGGTTGAGCTGTCTTCGTTTCCCCCTCCACTATATATATCAGCTCCACATCAACATGGGCCTGTGAAGACCTTTCACAAGACTGACAGGCCACCTGAATCACACAATTGTGTGGCCGGAGGAGCCTGCATGTGTATAGAAAAACCAGTGATCCAATAACTGTCTGGGTTCACTTCTCCCTCATAAAGTCAGGAGGGAGGCGCAGAGGGAGACCCACAGCTTCAAGCCAAATGTTCCAGCTGCACCAAAACAAAGCTTTAACTTTTATTCTAACTCTGAAAAGCATGCAAACTGTGACTGTTTTTACAGCAATGTTTTAGTCAGAAATTGCTAAGTGCATTCAATTTCTTTATTTGCATGGCACAAAAAACACAGAAGTGTCTCAGGAAAAAGGCTGAAAGCCGGTGAGTGTATGTGCCTTGCAGATGGTCCGGCCTCACAGCAGCTGTGTAAATGAAAGACGGAGTGTCGTTGAAGGAGGTGAGAGAGATGGAAAGTTGGCCACAAAAGGAAAAAAGTAACAAGCAAGTTGCTAACAAAAAATGTAATGGAAAAATGAATAGCACGCTAAAAATTGCAGAGAAAATAATCATGTCAGAGTATTTTCTCTGAAGTGACAAAAACAGACAATGCCTATTTGTTTTGGCAGGTAAAACACCAGTGTGAAGCAGAAAATAACAGCTTAACTATAAAAGCTAATCAGTATATTGAAGGCAATCCCATATGGTTATCACTATAATTCCCCTTAGTCTTTGTCATTGCTTTTTAGTCAGGATAATTACATCTGGTTGTATGTGTAGCGTATTCACTAGATAAACAAAGTAAGATATCATCTGCCAGTTAGTGAATTTGCAAACACAATTGTGAAAACAAACTAGTATTTGAGCTCTGGAGTGAGAAAACAACAGGTGGCAGAATCCTGCTTAATGCTGAAAACACAAAAACATTTGTCCTCGTGGGGGGTAAAGACAGTTGTCCCGAGTGCTTTGTAGTGCAAAGAGTTAAAATGTGTACTAGTCGGTTTCAACTCTGAATGAGAAAAGCTGCTCAACTCTGAATACTGAATTGCTCTAAATTTAAAACTTAGCAAATATATTCTGTATATTTACACATAAAAGTGCGGTTATAACACTGTTATAAACACAACACCCTGTGATCTTTAATTATAATCAGGGCAATTATAACTTCATACCGCCCCCTCTGTTGTTGAATGCACTTTTCCTCTGTCCTGATCCCCGTAATTGCCACTACATGTAAATATAAAGCGGTTAGTGAATAATTAGGGTTTCATTGGCCAGCAATCACCTCTGGGCCCCGTCTACACTTTAGACCCCTCCCTCGTAGAGCCGCCCTGAAGACAGGGGCCCCTTTTGAATGACAGCGCTTGGTAAGGAAGACGAATTTTTGTCTGATTTCCCGCAGCCGCAGCGTCGATGAGAAGCAGTCGAGGAACTCCATTCTAACTGAATGGATTGGTATGGGGAGAAGCGGATTTCAAATCACGGCTAAGCTGCAGCTTTTGGACTGTGTAACGTTGACGATGGTTTTACTGTCGCTGCTGTTTCGACCAGGTAAGTTGTTTGCTTTTTCAAAATCCCTGCTCCTCCACTCCTCTCCTGCATGCATTGCCAAGCTGAGTCCCGCTTTCCTCGCAATGGAGGTGGAAAAAGTTAACTTTTTCCTCGCGTTGTGTGGCTGAAATCAAACCCTTTAACAGCTTGGAAGTTTCCTCACTCACACAACCTATGTTTTGAGTGTGTTGGTGTTTAAAAGAAGGAGAAAGGCACTTTGTTTGAAAGTTTTCCGTCCGCTGCTGGGACAAAGTAAAGTCCTGTTGTATCCCAGCCTCCAGCCAACACTTGTGCATCGCTGCTAGCCGAGCAGCACGAGTTGACTCACTTTACGGACGTCTTTTTGAACATATTTCCAACCATTCTCGCTTAAAACAACGACACCAAACAATGTGTCAAGAACCGCTTTACAGTTACCACGTTTAACAAAGCACTTGTACCGCTTCTGCTATAGTTTTATCAAGTTATGTGAGATACGGCTTAGCTCAGAGTTAGCATAGCTCGCTAGCAACAGGCATCCAGCACCCGCAGTCAAAGCAAAAGAAAACTAGGGAGCTTGTTTTTTACCGAGAAAATGCTGCAAATCGGACACCAAACAGTCACAGTTAAAGTCCTGAGGGCAACTTTAACATTTAGGTTAGACTGTTTTAGTCCTTTGCAAAGCTTAGGGCACCATGGTATTTTCCCCTATTCATGCTTCATTTATTAACTTTGTTCGTTACCATGCATGGGGGTCCAACTTTTTGGCCTCTGAACGTGTTGGTCGCTCCTCCATTCCGGGGGAGATCAGAAACCCCCACTCCATCCCAAGAGCATGTTGTGTTTGGATTTTTGGAGTTGTTTTATGTTATACTTCGTGGACATTTTCCCATACGTTTTTCCAAAGTGTGTGTTGAAACACTTCACACATTTTCTCTAGGGAGTTATGTGTTTAAAGTTGGGAACTATTCTGAAACGTATATTCTTTCAACATTGCCGTCTAAATACAAGTATGAGCATTACATTATTTTAATATAGAAATGTCTGACGTTTGTATTTTTTTCTAAAATTAAGGTGAACAAAAAATCAGCCTCTTAGAAGTTGTCAATCATTAGATATACAAGTAATAGAAAATAACAGATTGTAACATTTGTTAAGTCTTGAACTGCAACACTTCATATCTTGATACACCTGATAACATGTTAAGATGATAAACAAAAGACACCTCAGGTTCTTTATTATTCGGGTACTTTTTGGTAACTGGATGCTTGGTGGAATAATGTAGGTTTGTTAAAGTCAAATAAATAATAACGTTATACTTAGTGTACGGGTGCAATCAATATGATAAATAGCACTTTAAATCGTGTTTTCAGCCTTGTTCTGTAGTCATTATGAGCTGGCTCTGAGTCTAGTAAGGCACTACAAATATTGAGTTATGTTAGTTTGCGACCTTCATACGATGTCCAAGCCATTAGGGAAGTGTCTTTATCTCTAGCTCTTAATATAATCTACTAATCTGTAATATACAAATACTGTCTGTGTGGCCATTTAGCTTGTTCCTTCTCTGCTTTTATATTCCCCACACTTGGTAGTCTACCAAGTGTCAGATCATAAAGGTCCTTTGGGGAGATGCACAGTTGTTGATGGCTGTGCAGGCAGTGATTGTCCGAAAGTGTCAATCACAGCAGACATTGGTGACCTCGCAGCGAGACGGGAGAGGTCTGTTGGAATTCAGAGCAGGGATGCAGAATGCCTCTAACTTGACCTCTCACACTTCATCCCCGTTTTTATCAGAGCCTGTGTTAAAGTGCAGACTGTGAGTTGCATTAATCATCTCTCATGTGCCCCTTCAGTGCACCAGACATATTTGAAAGAGAAGAAATGGTGCAAAAGTATTTGGGTGCACTGGTGTGAAATATCTGTGCTTATCTTGTTGTCTTTGTACGCACTGTTGGGAGATAAGATGGGGCTTTGGAGCAAACTGAAGATTATTCTGTTGCAATAGTAGATAAGTCTGTTGCAACTGATTTGTTTTTATGCAGGAAGAGTGATGGATGTGTTGAGGTTGCTGCTAATCTGTAAAGAAAATTATATCCACTTTTAGATACAAGAAAAATAGCTGTAGTTCTTTGTTTTCCCAAATGATAATTATCCCACTTGTAAGTCATATGAACAATACACCCCAAATGTAGCTGTTACCACCCAAATATAACATGCTGTGCTGTGCTCTGCTGCCTCCACCAGCCACCCTCTAGCTTCCAGTTTGGACCCCCATTTGCAGAACAAGTGTGACTCTTTGGGATGTTCCTCTTGAAGTAATCTGCCCCCCCCCCCCCCTACACGAGCCCTGCCGTGCCATGTACTGTAGCTTAACGCACTTCAATTACCTTAGCAACAGCCAAACCACATTCAACAACCTCAGGCAAACTAACACAGGTTGGTTTTCCTCCTACAGTGAGGCTACATGCTATTTCTGTGAGGGTTGGTTGGAGGAAATGAGATTTGACTGACTCCAAAGCACAGTGTGGGATCATGGCCTCGTGAGCTCACACATTTGGGTTTTAATGGCTCTCCTGAATGAGGTAAACTTGATAGTGGAAACGTTTTGACTCTGCCTCTTGTGCCGAGGTAATATATCCATAAACGTCACATTGTTTTTTAAGGATCTTATTTGTAGAAAACATGTTTTTGTTCAGATCGGTAGAACTAGTCAGCAACATTTGGGCAGAGAGGGAGGTAACTGATGAAAATGAGAAGAGAAGCAAACTTTTTCACAGTAATTGTGATTCATTAATGAACTCGGTTCAAAATGTTGATGCTTCTTGTTTTTGTTTTCCAGCTCACTGCCAGCAGTGTCGAATCCAGCGCTGCAATGCAGAGTATGTGGCTTCGACCTCCCCCTCTAGTGGTCTGCAGGAGGACGTGGCTATGGATGTGGACTACTGCATCGCCTTGAGGGCCTATGCTCTGTGCACCCGGCGGCAGGCGAGGAGCTGCAGGGGGGACCTGGTCTACCACTCGGCCGTCTTCCGCATTAAGGAGTTATTCTCTCAGCATAACTGCTCCAGCGAAGGGCCAACCTCCTCCGCCAAGGTCCCCAGTACATCTCGGCCAGCCGTGTCGGAGCTGTGCGACTATGAGAACCGGGTCCTCATGTCGGGCTCAGCTGGACAGCAGAAGAAATATGCCCACTGTGGATTATTCGGAGATCCGCACCTACGGACTTTCCGCGACGAGTTTCAGACCTGCAAGGTGGAAGGGGCGTGGCCTCTGATTGACAACCGCTTCCTGTCGGTGCAGGTGACCAATGTGCCTGTGGTCCTAGGCTCCAGCGCCACAGCAACCAGCAAGGTAAGGATGTGTTGAGTGTAAGCTATGCAATGATCAGTCCATTGATTTTATTTTTTGGGGCGAAATGCCAAATATACTCTGGTTTCTGATTCATAATATGTGGAACCAAAGAGAGGACTTTCAGGCTTTTCCGCATTTTATATTTAAAATGATTTACTGAGTCATGATGGAACAATTGTCATAGGTAAATCTCAAACGTTTCGCAAGAAAAATGTGCAAAGAAACCAAGAACAAAGTCGGGGACCCCTCTGAAAATAGTTTTTCGACCCTTGGTAGGAGGGAGTTTACATTAGGAACAATCACTGATTATTGTTGAATTTGAAACGAACGGCAAATTAGCAGGCGTTTTTTGAGTGCTCGGTTTTTTGCTCGAGTATTGCCATAAAGTATCAACATGTGAAGTTAATCGTCATTCCACGGTGCCTCTCGAGCCCCCAGCATTCCTCTTGTCTTGGAGCTCCTTCAGATCTATGAGGGAAAAGAGAGAGGAGGGGAGTCCTTTAGCGGTGTTGAATCACAGACATGCTTGAGCGCTCTACCTTTAACACATGGGTGGTCATATGGTAGTGATTAAGGCTCACTCAAACATTTTCCTCCACCGCCACAATCTGGAATGTTTTTTCACCCCTCTGGTCAAATAATTAACTGGGTGCTTTTTGAGTAAATATTGATAATGTGGAAAAATAAAGGAATAATTGGACAGCAGCTTGGGTTTTTTATTAGCCTAGTGAAATAGTCTCATTTTGTATGCTCTAAAAATTTAATTTGTTAAAAATTCTATCATCTCTCTGTATTTGGTGCTGAAAGTCACATTGGCATATAGGGCTCCCCAAACATATGCTTAGTAAACTCGTTTCCAACTGTCAGGAAATGTTGTCCCTACAAAACCAATGTTATATCAGCAATTTGAGAATGATATACGATGGATCTCAGAACAAACTCTATCAAAGGCATTGGCAGTGTGTTCAGAGACTAATGCAAACCTGTAGTGTGGGTGGGTCTGTGCCAGCACCCGCATGCCCCCATCATGCTTTGTTTGCAACTGCCAGACTTAAGACAGGAAATCATCCATCAAATACAGCATCCCCGTAAGTGTAAACGTGACCACAGCCACCGCTTTGTCAAGATACTTTGAAGAAACAGAGGTTAGGCCCCAATTTTTCAAAGCTCAGCTGGAATACAAATCACAGTCAGTCAGCGAGTGCCAGAGTAGAAGTGTTGGAAGATGCATGAGGATTTGAGGCTGTTATGAAACAGTGTTGTTTGAGCCAACATTCAGTGGAGTTATGCTTGCAGTTGTATTCTTTTGTTTTAGGTAACCTCACAATGGTTGCAATTGTGGTTTATTCGAACAGTTTCTATACCTGTATAATATCTAGTGGACCACTGATAGCAATCACTCTTTAAAAAAAAAAAAGGCTAGTGTTTGCCATCAACACCTACCACATCATTCAAGAATGTTTGGTTTCCTGCTGCCACCTTGTGGCTTTGACTGGTACTGCTTTTTTTCAATGAATTATGGCATATATTTGCACTGCTCATCTTTGCATTAATGCTAGGATGGGTTTCTTAGTGTACGGGCGTTTATTCAAACCGACACATTCAATTGTGAAATGTTGGGATCGGGCTTTTCAATGCTGATCATATTTTTTCTTCCAATTTCAGATCACTGTGATCTTCAAGTTCTTCCAAGGCTGCACAGATCAGAAGGTGTACCAGGCCACCACAGTAGATCTGCCATTGGCCTTTCAGGATGGAAGCCGCAGTGGTGGTGAAAGTGGCAGCCTGTCCATCGTAGAGCGCGGCGGCTCAGGAGTGGGCCGGCAGGTGAGGATCCAGGCCCGTTATATCGGCACCTCCATCATCGTCCGGCGCGTGGGCAGCTACCTGACCTTTGCCATCCGCATGCCAGAGGACACCCTGGACTTTACGGAGGACAATGGCGGTCTGCAGTTATGCCTGCACGGCTGCCCACGCAACGAGCTCATCAAGGAGCACACGCTGGGCATTCAGAGCCAGCAGCCCCGCCTGCAGAGCACCAACACAGAGCTGGGGCCTCTGCGGCCCCCTCACCAGGTCTACACAGTGGAGCGGGCCACAGCCAGGTGTAGAGAGACTCTGCAGGTGGAGGACGTGTACTTTCAGTCCTGTGTGTTTGACTTGCTCACCACAGGAGACCCTGAGTTCTCTTTGGCAGCCTACGGGGCTCTGGAGGATTTAAAGGCGCTGCCGCCGAGTAAACTGAGGCAGAATTCCCCCAGGACTCCTCGAATTTACAACAGAGTAGCGTCACACACTGCAGCAGCAGCCCACAGCTCCCTCTTCTCACTCGTACTCCTCATTCTGCTACTTTTGTAAAAGATTAAATATAAATGATTTTTAAAAAAAAAGAACAAACATGGAGACAAACAGAACATGGAAGCATTACCAGCTTGAGGAAAGAGTGACTAGAGCGCAGACCTATACATTTGTATTTTTTTGGGGGGTAGGGCAGTTTGTGAATGTTGTGATATTTTCAGTTTTTGTCATTTGAAGGATTTGACATAAAGATGGTATTTTTTCAACTCCACATTTTCTATGTCACATGAGTTGTAAAAAGACAGAAACACATTAAAATAGTCAGATTTGGGTCCAGTACTACAGGTTTCAGGTAATTGGTTTACACCAATCTTTATCAACTCATCAATGGGTGTGCTGATGTCATGGCAGTTCAACAGCATTGTGTTTTAATGTAAATAGAAAGGTCATCGGTGCACAACCTTTAAACACTCCACCATGTATGAAGCTGCACATGTATCTGCAAACTGTATGTTAACAGTTAACATTCTGCAGAGCAATAGCCGCTTTCACACCAAGTACTTTGCCGTACTTAGTTCCCAGCACTTAGTTCCCCCATGGAACTAAAGAGCAGATCGCGTTCACACCGGAATAAGTCCCTGAGGGAAGATTACGCAAATGAAGCCGCTGACGTCACTTCTTCTTCTTCTGCTTTGGGTTTACTGGCAGGCCGCAAACAACTTCATGGCGTATACTGCCGCCCAAAGTCCCCGGCCGGAAGTCCCCGGAGTTGGGGACTGGCTTCAGTAGAAGCTGCTGGGACTTCCAGCCGCTTCTACTGAAGCCTTCTGAGTAAATCGCCAGAACACCGACACCTCCACATCACTCCACCGCTCCCATGTTTTTTTTTGTGTTGCCATAAGTTATTCTCTCTCCGTTGGTGCGCGGGGCTAATGCTAATAATGCTAATGCCAGCAAATACAATGGCGGCTTCACAAAACCTTTCAGAGTTTTACGGGGCGTGGTTTGCAATTCGCCCAGCCAGCCAATCAGAAATTGGAACTTTCTTCTCCCCAGGAAAGTACCTGCTTTCTAGCAGGGACTGAAAAGTTCTCATGAACTATGTTCTCTTTTTGGTGTGAACGCAAAATCCCAGGAACTATCGGAACTAAAAGGGAAAAGTACTCCGGTGTGAAAGCGCCTATTGTGGTTTCTACATTCTGTATATGTGATATCAATAGCACTTAACGGTTTTATCAACAAGTTTTGTGCATTCAAGTGTTATTTCTATGTCTATTTCAACTGTTATTTCAGGAAATTGGTATTCTAAGTGCACAGGATCCAACAACTGTATGTAAAAACTACCTATCCATAATATACAATGTGTCAGTTCGATATTCAACAGTTCTCATCTGTGAAACTCGGGGTGTTTCTCAATGTCGAGGAGGCTAGCTTGGTAGCACATGTACCTCCGAGTCAGATGCTTCAGAAGCGAGGCAAGAATGCCTCCTAGCCTCGGAAAACGAAGAATGGTGGAACAGGTGTGTGTCATATGTGGGGCCCCGCCTTAAATGGAGTGTGATTTCTGCCAAAGATTTGGAAATTGGTCTGTGCGCAAAGCATTGTGGGGATTTTAAGACCGTGGAGTCTACACATGTGCAGCCTCGAAATTTCTCGCAACGAAGTACGCCGGCCTCGGTAGAATTCCAAGTATGCTGGACATTGGAACAGTCCTTCGGCGGCACTCGATGACGTAGTATCCTTGAAATGGTGGCTCTGGAGCAGCCTTCCTCGACATTGAGAAACACCCACTCCCTCTTCAAGCTGTCTGGCTTCCAGTTTTAAAAAAGGTTAAAAAAAAACACAAATCTTTATATAATAATATATTAAAAGAGTGTATATAAGTGTTTTATATTGTGTACATTTGCCTGTGTATAGATGTTTTAACTGTAATGTTTTACATTTGTTGTGTTTTAGTAGGTTATTTTGAGACATTGTAAGAAAAGTAAACTAATATGCGTTTGTAATTTTCTGTAATAAAGTGTTGGACACTCCTGACAACGGTCTGTTTTCCTCTGAAATTGGCGAGGCGTTGAACATAAAATTAAATACAAAACGACTATAAATAAACCGATATTTAAGTACTCTGTTCTGCTTTTACTGTATATTGCTTAAATACAAAAAAATGAATTCATTACATCATTTTGAACAAAATCAACAACGAACAAAATCAACAACGAACTGAACATAAATAAAATGAAGTGTTGTGATGATAGTATCATAAGAAAACTAAACTTTAAAATGTAACTTTCTTTCAACTTAGTCAAAAAAACCTTTAGTGTAATATTTCAGTCTTTTAACATGTGTTTATTGCACAAGTTGACACCATGAAGATAAAAAACGATGTAGTATGCTGCCCTACATCAGATCATAGTAAATTGTGAACAGAGCTTGAATCTGTGCTTTCATTGCCCTTATAAACCAGGGGTTGTACCTGGAAGGAATATGGCAACACATGTACAGTTGCTGGCTCAAGATGAAGTGCAAAACTGGAAAGATTTGTATAACTAATACTGTGTTTTACAAAGTGTATGCTTGTAATGCCACATGTGTCCTGGTGGGGTCCTCAGTCCATCAGGCCTGCCAGCTCACACAGACCGTTTTGACAGGCTGCCTGTGTGAGCTGTTGGGATCCACACACAGTATGTTCTCAGTCCCCTGTGTAAATGTTACCTCTGAGTGCTGAGCTGGCTGCTTGCTTTGCTTTTGTCTGCCAGAGCGCTGCATGGTTCCAAATAGGATTTAGTCTGGTTTAACACCAGGTAAGAGTCAACACCACGGGTGTTGCTGATATTTGCACTATCCACGAACAATGAGCACTGATTAGAAGGATGTGATCAGTTTCTATCGCCATCAAAAAAAATGAAATTAACAAAGCTCCTGCACACTTCTTATGAAGACATTATGAATTAATGCGCTATAATTAGTAGATGTAGATTTAATTTATATCTTGAATCAAGTTAAAAGTGTCTTGGTCCTTTTATTACTCTGAATGACAGAATGTTTCGTCACACATGCAATCATACTTAATCTCTCCATGTCCTATTTCTTCAAATAAAGACAGCACAGTGAGCTGCGTGGTTGGGAAGGAGCTGGAAAAATACATTTGTCACTATTTTCACCCTTATGTTCAGCACTTACACATTCCAAATGAAGTCTTCTTTGGGTGACTGCATCGCCTCATTGTCAATATAAGGAGTACAAGAGAGATGAAAATAAGGGAAAATCACAAACTTCGTAGACCGCTTTCAAAAAAGCAGTTTTTTGTCAGGGTCATGAAGAAGGAAGGCCGTAAAGGGTTAAAATGATCGAACATCTTTTATCTTTCCTTTTACATGAATCATCTAAGACCCCAAATGTATCTTCAGAGCCTTTGGAGGGGGCTGACTTAGTCTGACAGGTTGGGAAATGCTGGATGAAACTAGCCAACTGTATATACAAAGGGGTTTAACACACCATTAGAAAATATAACAGTAAAATGCAGCTTACACATTGTTGCATCAGTACTAACAATCTACAAATGGGTACTTGGGTTATCTTTCGTAATGTTGTAATATATAATGGATATAATAGACACAGGGGACATGTCACTGCTGAACCAGTAGCATACTTATGCTGATAATATTTCTGTGCTATTTTACTTATGTAAGGATTTGAGTCCAGGACTTCTTATAAAGTACTTTATCATAGTTCTATTACATGATGTCTCAATCAGCATTGTTATGATTTAGAGGCTCCGGCCACACAAGGCCGATAATGCAAACGGACCGCAATCGTTATCAAAAAAGTCTTCCGTCCACACGCAACAGGCACCAGAAATGCTTCCGTTCACACGAGACCGCTCGAAAGCGCTGGAGATGCTGTAGTACATATGCCAGGCCTGTAAGTGGCGCTGTAGTCCTGCCACAAAAGCAGCGAAGAAGACTTGCCGCGCATGGTTTCCCTTGTAGAGCCGATGAACGGGAGTCAGAGGCGGTGTATTCAGAATGGACTTCCACACTTTATTATTCATTAATCAAGAAGACGTAAGTACATGTGCTGCTCTGTGTAACCAGCGAGCATGAATGACACCAAACCCCGGTACCCTCACTAACGGGTCCGGGTTGCAACACACAAATCACACGGTGAATTATATACTAACAATGTGTCACCACACAAGCCCCCCCAGAATTCACCCATAAACAAAATCAGCGTGGCCGGGCGGAACGACAGGCCGACCCCCCCTCAACCTTCGCCGGCAGGGGTGCTGCACCGCCTTTGGTGACGCGGTGTCCGAGGAACTCAATATCAAACACCCCGAACTGGCACTTTGCAGGATTGATTATCAACCCGTGTTGGCTGAGCCTCGTGAAAAGGGCTCGGTGGTGTGACAGGTGCTCTTCCACCGAAGCGCTGGCGACGAGTATGTCGTCCAGGTAGACGAACACAAACGGCAGGTCCCGCAGCACCGAATCCATCAGCCGCTGGAACGTTTGAGCGGCGTTCTTGAGCCCAAAAGGCATCCGCAGGAACTCGAAAACTCAGGGGGTCACAGGTTCAAACCCCACTGCAGTCAGCATGTCGTTGTGTCCCTGGGCAAGACACTTCACCCCAAATGGCTCCTGTGGGGATTGTCCACAGTATTGAGTATGTAAGTCGCTTTGGATAAAAGCGTCTAACAAGTCATATGTAATGTAATCTCTCCGGTAGTCCACCAGCAGATGAAAAACACCCACCTCTCCACCTCTTCCAAGGGACGAGGGGACGTGCAGCAGAGTTTCAGTTCGATTTTTTTTCGCCGGTCCGTTAAAGTTGAAATCTTCCGGACAAAATTAGAAAAGTGCCGGTCAAGGGTCTTCTTTGTTATTTATTGAGCTTTAAAACAAATGAATAACGACTCTATATAATAATTAAAAACGGAGCCTCTCTTTTCCTCTTTCCCCCCCCCCCTCTTCTGAGAGCCCAGCAGCTGATCTCTGAGCAGGAGAGGCGGGGCTATTGCTTAAACGTTACCAGGAAATGATCGTATAGAGTGGCGAAGTCACGCCCATCTACTTCCGCCCCATGGGACCTTATTTCTG